AAGACCATAAACGAAAGCTGCCAATGATAAAAGCTAATCAAATAAATCATATTTTATTCACTTCTAATACGAGCATTGCTATGAGGAATACAGTCATGTTTCGCTGACGTATAATACTCACATATACGTACTGACTTACGTAATATTGATGAAATCCAAATTTCAAAATGCAAGTAGTGTGGGTACATGTACTTGAAATGCTGATTGCATTCACAAATTATCAAAAACAACAGTAAAGTCTGTGAAAAAGAATCTCTGTGGTAAATAATATGTTGAACTATCGATTTCTTGTAAAAAAAAAAAAAAAAAAAAATAAATAAATAAATAAAATAAAATTTTAAAATCAAAAATAAACCGAAAATAAAAAAGTAATGAAAAATAAAAACAACTGTAAAAATACAAATCAAAATATAAAAAATGAAAATTCAAAAACGCGCTTAAAATAAAAATGGCGTTTTTCAATTATTTTGACATACGTCGATCAGTAAACATACGCAAAACCATAAACTTAATGACTAACACACGGTTGACGCACAGAACAATGCGATTAATCCCCCGATACCGGAAACAATATTACATAACAACATCCCACAATTTGCACCAACATTTACACAACAAAATATGTTGTGTTTCCCATTGTTCTCAACAAAAAAAACATGTTGTGTTCGACATATATATACTACTGCTGTATGCCGTCGGACGAATCTCAGATATACTGCTCGCTTTTGCGTTGAGTTGGGTAGCCTTTCCATCGTCTTACGATACGGTTACTTCAAGGAAGGCTAGACCTATAAAGATATATATGTCCTAAATCACGATATTTTCATGCTTGCATGGGAGGTTTATGATTATTTTAATAACAATTCTTGAGTATTCAGCAGATTTATACTACTATATAGGCTACAGCATTTTTGATTTAAAAATAATTGCCGTTTGTGTAATGCACGTTTGTGAGAAAGAGGGGAAAGTAACCACTTTTACTGACTGTGTGATTGGTCGCGATTCAGTGTAGATGTAGTCTAGTATGCAAACACTGCAGGACTGTAGTAGGCCTACATTAGATTAAATGCATTATGTATGAGAAGTGTTAGTCAGTATTTAATGGTATTTTTCTATTTGACGAAAAACACTCATGTTGTTCAGAATATGATATTCGTCCTCATTTTAGATACTGTACAACAGAAGAAAACGGCAATGTTCCACCTAACGCAGGCTACCATTGCTGTTCCTATCATCGCTATATCTGTAAGAATAAAATGGATCGAAGAAGAAGTCTTGAACAAAACCGTATCTGTATATAAAAAACATAACAGTTGCAAACAGTTTAAATAGGCTTTTTATATTGAAATATATGGCATTCTTCTGCACCTGATGAGAATGAGGATTTCGGAAGCAATTCATAAGAAAGTCGATTAGATATAATTTATTGTTTTTTTCTCATGCATCTGTTAGCGTCGAAAGCCCTGTTTCTATAAATAACATTGCCTCCGTTTGAAAACACAACCACATAAACTGAAAAGAGACTAATTGAAATATGTTATGCACACACTGTATTCATTTAATTTTTTTGACGTTTCAATGTAAATTTTTCAGTAAGAAATAACAGATTTATTTGTGTTTTCGTGCTCACGATGTTGATTTGTGACCTCATCGCAAATAAAATTGATGCGTTTGATGGCTTATATAAAATAAATCCAACTTTTTATGCTGTGTCGTTGTAAACCTGTGGTAATTGATTTTCGAGGAATCTCCTTATATTCAATTTTGCATTAGGGATTTTGAAGCATGATTTATAAAAAAAAAATGAGCGATTTTCGTTATGGGGAACAAGCTGTAGTGCGTTCAGTATGTTCATTTTTCATTCAAAACTAAAGAACTTATTTAGTTACCACATGTGAGCAACGAAATTCACTTTCTAGGCGTTTTTCAAGGCCTCGTCTCACGGCCTATTTGTTTTTGATTTCGTGTCTATATATTTGAGCATCTCTCTCTTGTATTTCTGTAGTTATTGGAGTGAACATGCATTGATTTAGTTTTTGTTGGTGATTATGTACGTGTATGTACTTACATGTTTTAATCTTCCCGTACTTCTGTTGATTTGCACCGTTCAAGAAAAGAATTATAGCATCCAGATAATTTATAAAATTAAAACCATGCTTAATATTTTCCGTCTTCATTGTTATGTTGTGAAAGGATTCTTTTGTTTATTACAGGCGTGGAAATATCGATAAGATGACTCAATCATGTACCACTTTACAAACCACGGACATTAGCTCAACAGCCCTAATTAGTCGAGGGATTAGCCAGTTAAACTAGTTTAAATACGGGGACAGTGATCGGGAGGTTATTAATGGCCCTTCGTATATTGCACCAATGGCCGAGTTGTTTGATGTAATTAGACCCAGTTACATAACAGATCTTAGTTTTTAGACCTCTCGGAGTAATTCCGAGAAAAGCACTCTCTGATCAATAACAGAATAGTTAAATTACAAATCAACAAAAATTGTTCCCCAGAATACAAATCTATTTGTAATATTAGAAGTAATAAAAGTACATAAACAATCTCAATCTTAACTTTGCCAATATTTTTTTCAAGCTGAACCATATAAGTATAAAAACTCGTACTTAGTAGAATACCATATTTTTAATTGATTTATCCTTGCAATAAACTGGTAAGACGAGCTACAATATTAGCACGACACACAAAAACCCACAAATCCTTTAGGTTGAATTATTTAATGAAACGTTCACTCGAGAATAATGTTACGAGAATACATTTAGGAACGCTGCAATTCCCATGAATTAATCCAAAATAAACAAACACACAATCCAGAATGTCAAACGAAATTATCGAAGAGGCCACAAGTGCTCCAAGTGCTCAAACTAAACGGTGCTAGTTGGTCGTGTAACAGGTTAACACTAATAGACGAAACGGGCAAGCGACAATTCTTCTGATAACGTCATGATAATAGTCATGTTACAGATTTGTTTCGCGGACCCTCCGAAAGAGCTTCACGGATCCCAAAAGGTCCCCAGTTTGGGAACCACTGAATTAACGGTATACATATAGCAAAATACTAACCAGTACGTTCATAAATAAAACATGAAGTTTTCGATCGTCTTCACCTGTTCGTTGAGCTTCAAATATCCAAAACCTATCGGCAATAAATCCATCTTGACCTTGGGGGTGTAATGACGTTGACCGTATTAGTATTTATTTACGCCTTGACTCAATGATAGCCAGAACAAATCACGTGGCAAACTGAACGGTGACATCATGCATTCAAAATCAGAAAACATCATGGGGACCAACTTTGAAAATATAGAATTTGAAAATATAAAAGTTCTAAATTCTAAAAGAAATATTTTCAATTGCTGAAATTTTAAAAGCAATCTGTACACTCTTCTGAAAAGTTTTTCGTCCTAATAATTTAGCCAAATAATCCACTTTGTGTCTGATCACAACGATTTCTTGCAATGATAATTAAACGTCTGATATATTTCTATTATATTTTCATCGACCACACTTAAATAATTACAGGTTGAAAACAGAAGTTTCTTTCAAAAAATAACGCGAGACTAACCACCAGGCTAAACAGCATAGTTGCATGGAGCAGTAGAGAGTTGGGTTGCTCAATACCAAGGCAGTTATAAGAAATAAGCAAAGCCAAGTAACAAACATATCGGTATATGTTGGAGTGGTTCAACGGGAATAGGAGTGAAACTTACATACCACGACTTGATCTTTACGTTTTAGCTCGGGGATGATTATCAAAAAAATATTTGTAATTTGACTGATATTCACCTTGAAATTCAGAAGGCTCAGATTTTAGTAAATACGAATAGTAACGTCACTACAATTTGGGTATTCAGAAATTGAACAACGTAGAAAGTTAGGTAAATTGATTATTACCCCAGTTCGAACGGAGTCACTTTGCAACTCCAATATGTGAGTCAACCCCAATATGAGAGCCACTTGTCTGCACACTCAAGAGATAAGTGGACAGGATAATTTCATGCTAACGAATTCGTTTACATAGTTATTATCAAGTTTATTTGTTCTAACCAGCAAAATGAATAATAGAAAAATAGAATATTTAATTGCAAATTTTACAAAATGGTCGGCTATATTTTAAGTAAAAATTGTTCAATAACTGGTCATTGCACCTTTTTATCGGATATTTTCAAGTCCCTAAAAACATTCCTTAATTGCGACAAAATGACATAGCCTGGGCCACTACGCAAAATACTCCAATTGGTGAAATGTTTATTTGTTCAAAATGAAAGACAAGATAAAGATATTTCTTAACTTCCTTTAGTGCATTTCAAATTTTCATAAATTGGCAACGTCTGTTGGTAAGCTCCTATGTTTAATCCCTTAATAACAGTAATGATTCGCTTTGCAAAGACGCTACTTTGATTTGACGATACGGGTGATTTGAATATAATTGCCTACTTGTACTTAATATTATGAGGAAATTATACACTTATGATAAATAATATACTAATGGAAAACACAGTCTTTGAACTATTATAGTTCGGCTGCTGTCTTTAATCAAATTAAAATAATAGGACCGCGAGGAGGATCGATAGATCAGTTATCATAAAGTATAATAGCAATTTATTTATGGAATTAGAATACCTAAAGCTAGGTACTGTTATTGTATTTGGTTTTGTAAATAAACTAACTTCTACTCAAACCAATCATTTATGTTTGAATCGAAATCAAAGTAATACATATGTATATAGTATGGATAGTATGAGAAGGTAGCTTTAATAAATTTCGGGAAAGATTTAGACAAGATTTACCAAGTTTTGAAAACATTTTTCCTGAAAAGTCTTAATAAAAAACAAACAAAATATATCGGTATGAATGTGAGAATTTGGTAGGTTGCATTACTCTTCATTAAATAAATGACAATGAAAGAATATAAATTTTGAAATCTTCAACTGCTAATTCAAAGATATTTGTAATAATATATATATTGATAAATAATATTATTAACTATAATCTTCATTCTTCAAGTTAGATTTATAACATTTGGAATCCTCCATTTATATTTCTTATATGAGCATCAAATATGAAGCTTGCTTGGTTTCTAGTTCTCGGCCTTGTGTTCATGGTGGTTTTAACGAAAAGATCGTCGATGGCGTTTGCACGAGGAAGTTTTCGTCCAGGGCGCGTAGGGTAAGTAATTTTGTTCGTTTAAGTCAGAGATGGGCAAACTGTATCCCACAGGGTGCATAGGGCCCACCAAAGCATATTTGCAGCCCTTGCTCTTGAAAAAAAATGTGAAAATTCCCTTCAATTCATACAAAATTTAGATTTTTTGTTAAATGAATTCGATTGTTAAAATAATATTAACATTGTATAGCATGTAAGGAATGGTTATAGATTTTGATGATATTTAAGCCCCCTTGTTCTTTTAAAATGTTTCAACGCAAGAAACCTCTGGTTTAAGTTATTGTTATTTTTCAAGATCTATGGGGCATCAGGATAATAATTTAATTAACGTCATTTCATAATAGAAAACTAGACATCATAATATCATTTGTCCGATTGTGGCTCACAAAAAATGTCAGTAACTATTGCCGAAAAAATAACTACACAAAAAGTTACCAGTATGGATTTTCATGCTTAATTCAAATCATTTCGCTCATTTATGTTTTTTTTTTGCTGATAATCTATCCATGATAATAAATATAAATCACTACTCTCAGAATTATTATTGAATATTTAAAATTGAATAAAACGCTCATCGGCATTCCAATTTGATCACAGTCAAACGACACACAGACGTGGAGGAAATTTATGGGGAATAAAGGACAATTTCCCAACGAACTCATCGAAACAGGTATAATAACTATATTCGCCAATAATTCTTCAATCTCGATTATATTATGACGTAACTTTGAAATGAATGTTCCCATTCTCTATCTAATATATATTCCATATTTTTCTATGTATTTAATAGTTTCCGATTTTGAACAAATAAATTGGATATATATATACTTTTTTTTCATTTTAACAAGTTGAAAACACTGTAGAAATATTTGTTTCCATTTTAGATGACGAAGTACCAATTCCCGAAGAATGACAAGTTCTCGTGATGATCCGAATTGTAGCCTACCCCTCGATAACAATTACTTGCTTCGATTTTTTCAAACTATATATATGCTTCATTGTATTTTTACAATCCATACGAAATTAAACTCATTACCTTATATACTTGCAATTTCTGAGATAAAAACGGTCCAAGTACATAAGATATAGCTGAGATAACGTGTTTTTTGACCGTATACCTAGAACTTTGCAGTTTGAATTTGCGACCTGAGGACTTTTGGTAGATCAAACAAAAAACCCAAACCAGATCATGCCGCCCGTTCCGGTGATTATAAAGATCATCCTTTTTTGTGACATATTTTGAAAGTGTGAGCAATAATGGATGAATAATTCTGATATGCCGTACTCTTGAATCCGTGCAACAAAATCAGAGCCGCGCTACTGGAAAGGTTGGATATTAGGACTGAAGAGTTCGGCACGTTTTCGCTGAAGTCGCTTATTTTAAGATAAGATTCACATAAATACTCAGAGGAAATGGAAAGCGGATGAGACGGCCTACATGGCGGACCACGGCCCCTCGTCCGGCTACCAGTACATGTCGGGTATGGGATTAGTCAGCCAGTTATTTGTTCTAGAATCTAGATGCACTACGGATTCGTCTGAAATCGTCCGACCTTCATTACCGCGCAATTAATAAGAGGCCACAACTTGAAGACTTTTACCCTTGATTATCAAAATTGATTTTTTCGGATTTTGGAGCTGAAGAAGGGGTCAAACCTTTTACAACCCAAAATCGGGTTCGAAAAAAATCTTAAGCGAGCGGATATTTGCCGCTATACAGCAGTAAAGGAATAGAAATTGGTAAAAATTGAAAAAAAAAAATAAATGAGCTCAATAGATGTAATGAACCACGAGATCAGCTTTTTAAGCTGAATAAATTTCGAACAAAAGTGAATCAGAACAATTAGGTCTGAGATTTTTTGGAGAGTAACCAAAAAATTAACTGCAGACCCTTGTTCTGGTCTGGGCGGTTTCCGACAATCGTGCACGAATAGGTTTTATATGCCAATTACACCACGTCTGTTCGCCGCATTATAAGTAAACTAAATTTCAATATCCACACTGATTTGGTAATCGGGCACGGTTTACAAAAATATTATTATTTACCCTCTCCCAAACCCTATGCAGAATAATTTTGGATCTTATTGGACACGTTTAGTGGCCATAACGATCGTTTCAAAATTTTGTTGTTATTGTTATTTGTCTCAGTCTCCATTTTAAAAAATAGCTTTTCTCTTCGAATACTGGAATGAATACCGTCTTTAAGCATTTACTCAAGAGAATCCTTCCACAGTGCCATTTCACTTATATTCCCAAGTATTATTCAACCGCTCAATTTACTCAAAACTTGATGGATAACAATATATAACAGAATAAAGGGGTCGTATTCCCATCAGTAGATGGTCGAAGTGAGGTTGCAGTCTGTTCAAAATTGGAGAAAACATCCAAATTGAATTCTGACAGGCTCATAACACACAGATTAAAATCTAATTTCTGAAAGACTGGTATTCAGAAATCGCAACTATACATTTCCCATTAATTTTTACATAGACATGTTACAACATAATAACATCAAATAGTATAACAATTGTTCTTGATGCTGAAGCAAAGATAATGTTGCAGCGAGTTTACATTACGAAAATTGTTGGCAAACTGTTCAAATTGGGTATATTTCATGTAATGAACCAAACTAAACAAAAAGCAAGGATAGAAATGTTGAACGGTAAGAGTCATGTAATAGATGCTGTGAAACAGACAAATACCAATAATTGAAAATCACTTGTTTCTTACATAAGCAGGAGCTTGCTATTTCAACTGGTAATAATTTCAATATACTATCCGCGCAGCAGAAAAATCGCTCTTATGATAGAAATATAAGTTTTTAAAGCCTGCGAAGTGAAAAAAAATATATACATATGTGAAACTATATTGGAAGCATTGGCTTGATATAGAATTGACTCAATTTATATAGCATTCGATTGCCCAGTCTTTCAAATTAATCAATGCCCAAGACAACCAAGCAGAAATAATATGACCTGGTCAGTCATGATAAATGCAAGTTTTTTGAACAATTAGTTTTCTAATAATAATTGATTTTTCGGTGCTTCAGAAGTATGCGCACCAAGATGTTGCACAACCTGAATCCTAACCGGTACACACATACTATGTTCAGGTTGTGCGCCATCTTGGTGCGCATACTTCTGGAGGTCCGATTTTTCATTATCATATAGCTCCATATTAATGTATGAATGAAATACTCCAAGAAAATATGAGCAGTGTAGGAAATGCCCGACCAAAACTCTATTGAATACTCCATTTTCAGTTGATGACATCACATCATGTTCTCATATTGAATTCACTAGCCTGCACTCAAACGTAACTCAAGACAAACAAAATCTGAGTCATAACATCATGTGTATTGTCTGAAACTATGTTTTAATGCATATTAGGGTGGCGTGACCAACTGAAGATACCACTCAAAAATCATCTTTCAACTTTCAAACGTATCTCTTTCAACAGAAATTTGAAATTTTTATATTAGAACTGTGACCTCATAAAATGTTATCCAATGATAACAAAGACTGCAGAAGTGTCTTATAGCCACAATGCTTTGAAACAGTGGCACACATTTGTCGTAGAAGGGAAAATGTCTTGGAACACGAATCAAGTTATACCGTAAAAATCTTTTTATAAATATAATAATCAAAAATCAACTTGTTAAATACTGTATTGCTGATTCCATATTCCAATTATGAGCAGAAAGTGCTTGCAATGCATCACTCTAAAAAAATGTTGAAAAATATGATAAGATTTACATCACTGCACAGCAGCTGGGAATGAGAAAGAATTTGGTGGCGGCTGGTAGATTCAGATATTTATTTCGTTGTGCATGAAAAATTGTGACGACACAATTAAAAATATATAATAATAAACGATCAATTTAAATAAAAATATATTTTTTCCGCAGTTGACGGGAGTCGCAAGCCGACGGAAGACTACCAAAGTCGTCGTGTCAGTGACAGTGACACCTTGTTTGCCGATTTTAGAAGATGACATTGAACAACCATCTGCATATGGATATCTCAGTGGTATCATTCAATACCACTAATTCACCTAATATAAGAGACAGCTGAGAGGAACAAATTACCAGTTACCTGATTAAATATGATCATACTTTTCTCCCTTGATTCTGTAATCAGTTTTATTTATTGTTTCGTGATTATGGTTATGGAGTCGAAATACTTGGGCTAGCAATATTACAAGAAGCTAAAAATTGCACATGAAAAATCCCATTTCCATTATTACCTGAAAGAAACCCATTTCCGTGATTGTACGTATTTGTTTTTCAAAACTTTCCTCTTTTTTCCCTGGTGCTACAATAAAAGTAAATGGAATATTCATAATAGTCCTAGGTAATTGACTTTGATTTAGTATAAGCAGATAGCTTTTTTGCGGGCTTTTTCAGAATACTGATAGATGAGAGTATTTTGAAGAGGAAAGGTTAGGTAATAAGCCAAGTGATATTTGTGATTGTAGTTTAACAAAATATTTGATTGCGAAGTAGGTGCGTACTAAATACAGAAAATTAAAATTAGCCACATTTGATACTTCAATAAACTTCTTTTAACTTTAGGAATAATTTTATTTGGCAAAATTACCATGTCGAGCAATTGAAGGCTATCAGCATAACAAAACACAACAACTGCAAAAAAAGTGAGAATCATTCAAATAATTCCTACATTAACGAATACAACCTCATTGAAATCTATTTACTGCATGTGTTCTTAGTTAAACATGACCATGTCATAGATTTTTAAATTTCATTATGTGTTCAGTTTATTCATCAGCTATCGAGTATTATATTTGCTTCGCATCGATTCAAGAAGATACACGAAAGTGTAAACGAAAACGAATAATTGATAGAGTTGGTTGCAAATTGCGCTCAAATAAACCAACTTACCTTTTGCGAAATGTTGCGCCCAATATAATGCTGTTTTATTAAAAATATGTCGATTATCTTTAAACTGTTTTGCAACTACCGCATCTTGTGGATCATCTGGTTCTGCAGCCTGCAGTAAAGCTTGTAAGGATAATAAAACTGTTCGTAATGTAAGTGCAGCCGCCCTGTAATATAAAATTCACAGGATATTATTATTCTACCTTATCTGCATGCATATACTATCGGCAAAGTAGCTGAGTATTTCGCTGTAGTTCGCTCGGCAGAGTCGCGCATCGTGCTAAGTGTTTGGAATAGGCTCGCCATCGAACCTCTTGCATGGGTTCATTCACAGTTTCGAATCCTGTAGGGGATACCGGTAATTATCTGCTGGAGGATTGCTGACGTGATTGGTACTCCTGTAGTGTGTGTACCAGGTTAAGGTGAGGCCATAATTTTATTCCGATTTTAGTTCTATTATGAGTTCTGGTACTGTCCGTGTTAGTCAAATGAATATACCCCCTGCCCATAGGCTTCAGTCCCTTTACACAACTTGATGTTAAGTGCGCGTACTAAACTACGGTAGTTACCTCCATATTGGTACACATACTTCTGGAGCGCAGACGTGATTTACCATATGAAAAAGTCGTCATATCGGGCTTATCGGCTATCCTGTGATGTGTTATCGTTCATATTGTTATGGATAATTCCATCCTCTATTCAATTGTGAAAATATTGCGAATTTTTCTTCACTATCCCTGATGACCCAGACTTTTATTGTCTAACTACAACTTTTATTTTTATCATTTGTGCATGTTTTACATTCTACGTACCACTGATCTTTCAAGATATCGAGACATATTGCTCCAGTCACAGAACTAATGTTTGGATGCCAAATCTGTGTTAGAAATTTTATCTTCGGTGGATTGAATGGATATGTGTCTGGAATTTTGATATCCAAATCATAAGTTCCACCTTAAAAAAACAATCTAAATTAGATAAGCTATACAATTTATGAAATACAACATGAACAAAAAAGTCTACAACTACAAGATACTAAAACTGCCTTGGCATTGAGGAGCAATCAGAATAACGCCTTCAAAGAACTGAAGTATTAGATGTTTCCCAGACTTTTAACCCAAAAATTTCTTTCTATAGGCTACTTTCTCATTGACAAATTCTTCATGCTCATTTTTTGATTTATTTTGCGAAATAAGCCACATCTAATGCAGCTTCTATGAGATTGTTTCACTGATTAGCCATTGTGGCAGAAATTAACAAGAAAATTGAAATAAGGACACTATTTGTGAGTGTCTCCAATAAGAAATATTACTGATGCTTAAATAAAGCATGTGATTGATAATCTAAATTTGACAAAGGACTATCTCAACATTTTGCTAGTGTTTTCAACTACAAAGAAGGGCCCTAATTGTAGAGTTACATTTATATCAAAGCAAATTCCACTTCTGAAAAGTGGAGATATAATACGAATAGGTAACTGTGTCAATTATTTTGTGGCAGCTACTGGTATGTAAAAACGAAACATACGAATAGGCAATTTATTTTTATCAATGCACCCTAGAAAATAGACATAACAATTGGGTATACCAGCATAAGGTGTTCCTGGTGGGCCTTTTATCTGTCCTCTCAATTCTGTCAGTTTACTTTCACAAGTGATCGTTATAAACAAATCTTTCTGTAACACAGATAACAGTTTATATCAAGGGCTGTAAATATTAGAGTTCAAAATGCATTGAATGCTTATTGAATATTGGTACTAATATCCAAAAAGTGAATAACATATTATGGTATTTTATTCATGCTACAGCATCCTTGCGTTACACGCATACGAATCCACTAGCGTAAAGGCATTGAGAAAGGATTGGGAGTTAGTCTCGCGCACCTCTACTGATAGTAACATATTCTCTTCTCACAAAATAGCATGTATGTTAGAAAACATTCATTTCTAACTGGGAGTCCTGGCCAACGGCGGGTCATGAAAGGGCTCAATAGAGGATGTGCTGAAATATTTTTCGACACTAACTTATCTTATTAAAACAAAATATCGATCAAATTTGAAAGATTTGGAACCAGTACTGGAGGAGCCGAGCTTACCATGTTAGATGGAAGTAGAGCCTGACCTACCAGAAATTTTAGTGGTTCCAGCTCCTAATCATCTTATCATTTTTCTAAATTTTGAATTTTAATAATATTGTAAATAAATGGTTGACAGTTATTGGTATTAATTATCCCCTCTACTGCTTCTACTCAAATCATGATTGGCATACCTCATCTTCAGCGTCTTTGAGCTCTCTCTTAATCCTCATAACAGCTATGCTGCTCATTCCTAAGTTTGGATCTTTAAACTTCTATGGAATATAGTTTGCTTCAAGATAATCACTAAAGAAAATTATCTACTGAAAAATGAAAAAGTTTGGTTCAATTATGTGCGATAAACTCGAACTTTTAACAATATTTTCATAAACCGCATAACGCAAAAAGTCAATTACAAAAAACTTAATAAGTCAATTACAATTACAAAAAAAACCTCGTCAACAAAAAGGACTAATAGTTTGGAACAGTGGTTTCCAACCTTTTTTCTGTTACCAAACTGTCAGACTCAAAGATCTATTACTCTCTTTCAGCCCACATTCTCAATCCTTCTTGTGTGCAAAAAACAAAAAACAGAAGAGACACCCTATCCAAATTTTACCGCAATTGCTTATTGGCAATTTTGTTAATAAATCAGTGTCAAAATTTAGAAATAGTAATACCATTGGTAATATCACATCGGCACAAGAGCCTCAATTTTTTGCGGGATGGAAAAAATAAAATTGACTATGACAAGTTAATATCAATATTCGTCGATGAGAACCTTACTAAATGGCCCTTATTTTCAGTTGCAAGTAGGTACGGTAATTAAAAATGAGCTTTTTCGAATACTTGCAATTAATCGAATAATTTGTTTTAAACCTCATTATTTTAAATAGGTAGAAAACAATTTTAAATTGGTCAATAACACAATATTATTATAAATAGTCAACTTCAATGCATTGATAGTAATAAAAGGCTCTCAGAAATAGAAAATACCATAGGTTGCCAAAGAATACTCCAGACACAAGTTTCGACAATATCACGTTATCACCCCATCTCAATTAATTTTCAAGACCACTCTACTCCCAACGAACACACTTTCCATGATATTACTAATGACAAATCAGAAACTGCTTTGAAACAAATATATTAAAGGGAACACTTCAAGACATCTGTTGTAAAATAGGTTTACTAGCATTGGAAGAGTCAAGTTGTGTTGTAAAATGTTGTTCCAAATTAGGGAACTGTGCTACTTTCTCAAGAAAAGCAGCGGCTTTCAAAATTTTTGGCTCACTCAAGTGGCTACCAGTAATTTGTAGTCCAATGGGCATATTATTTTTAGATAATCGAGTGGGTATATTGATGGCAGGAACACCAGCGATATTTGCAGCTTGAGTTAATACATCTTGCTCAGCCGATCGCGTCCTATTGTCCTCCGTTATAAATTCAGAGTATAATGGCGCATCAGAAATTACAGTGGGGGCAAGGAGAACATCGCAAATACCAGATGAATTAGAATCATCACTATCACAACTCGTATACAAGTTATGTGCTCCAAAAACTTTCTGGTAATCTTTTAATATAAGTCTCCGCACTTTTTGCGCTTTATAAAAATACTTTTCTATATTATCTTTTAAAAGAAAATAATTTCCACTAAGAATTCTACTTCGCACAGTATCATTGAATCCCTCTCTCCGAGAAACTGCGTACATTGCATACGTAGATTCATTTATAGACGACCTATGTCCATACTTAAGACCATCAAATCTTGCCATATTTGAGGCAACTTCCACATTACAGAGTATATGATAGCAAATTATTGAATATTTCATATGAGGCAAGCTCACAAGTGTTACTTCAGCACCAGCATTTCCAAACTGGTCCGCTGCCCATCGCCACGTATCAACAACCTCCTGAGACATGCCATGAACTAGGCATTCCTTTGGTATACCAACTTTTAATCCTTTGACAGAAATATCATAATTTTCATTTAAGCATATTTTCAATTTCTTGCTTTCTATTGAAGTGGAGTCCATGATATCTCTCCCTTTTAATGCATCTAAAACAATAGCAGCATCCTCTACTGATCTTGCAAAAATGGAAGGACAATCCATTGAATTAACAAGAGGAATTAAACCATGACGAGATATTATTCCATAAGTAGGTTTTAAACCAACAACTCCACAATAAGAAGCTGGATTTCTCACAGAACCGCCGGTGTCCGATCCCAGAGCAAAATGACAACATCCAGTTGCAACTGCCACAGCACCCCCACCTGAACTGCCCCCAGCAACTCTCCAATCTTTGCTAGACGGATTCAATAGTACGTCAGGTGACCAAGGATTTTTCACAGGTCCGTAGATAGATTCTATAGATCCCGACCCCATGGCAAATTCATCCATGTTGTTTTTTCCAATGAGTTGTGAGCCATGGTTTAATAATTTATTAAGTACAGTAGCATTGTATGTTGGTTTATAATTTGCCAACATTTTAGATCCACATGTCGTTAGTATACCTTCGGAAGAATAATTATCCTTCAGTGAGAATGTAGTTCCGGTCAGTATGTGATTTTTTTGATTGGTGACCTCATTGTTACCAGCCTTTCTTGTAACTGTGATGAAAGCATTGAGATGCTTAGTTTCATCTATTCTAGTTAATGATGATTTGAATATATCACTTTTTGATGTTTCATTTTTTTGAAGTGATCTAGAAATCGCTCTTATGCCCTTGAAATGCATTTGTTATCCTGATTTCAAGTATGATCTGTCATTATAGAAATTTGATTAAAATAATTCATGAATTATGAATGAATTCATAAATTAAATAAACATAACTCGTAATTTTTCCTTTGTTACCCCTTTAAACATCCATAGCAATGCAGTAAACAAAGTACAATAAGCATACCATGTAGCAAACAAGACAATGCTAGCCATCACACTGCTAAACGCATCAACACATTGAATGATTGAACGTTGTGGGAAATATGTGGTGAAGAATCACTAACGCTATGATTAGTCACCACCAGACCCAAGGTAGTCGTAACAACCAGCAGTTACGTGAGTCATCCTACGGCGACAATCAAGGGTCAGAGGTGCGGTGGCAAGAGTATTTTCAACCAGAAATAAGTATGTAACATTGGCAAATTAGATAATACAGCAATACTGGCAATGTTAGTCTATATCAGAGATGACAAACCTTTTTTACTGGATGGGTCAAAATTATACTTTTATTATGGTGGGTCATAGATATTTAATCAAAGTTTACATCAATGAGAAACTTCTTTTCAGCAAGTCTTATAATCCTTGGTTGGTATTATGTTGTTTTGAGCTTGACATACAGACATATAACATGAGCCACTTACAGATACCGGTGTACAGTTAAGACTAAGGCAGTAAGGCAATTTCTGGTACTCGACTCTATGGAATTCATGTGCTAAAACACGAATTTGCATGCATACCGAATACCGTAACGTTTATAATGTTATGGAAAATCATTTTATGGTTTCAAAAGATTTGACAACCCTGGAAGAATTATATTTCTTAGATTGTCTTTCAACCGCATTCGGGTCACTACCGGTCAGGCGGTCAGCTGGTAGTCGATACGGTACCGGTACCATAGGATAGGATTTACGGGTCTCATGTAGTTTCAAACCTAACGTACTTCTAATACAGTAATAGGCGTAGCATAACAATTTTTTCACGTGTCAATCCTGACCACACCATCCAAAAATTACGTCACTACGGCGTCACAGTGACGTAATACTGTAATAGAGCCCTTCAAACTATGCGAACTGTCATCCAAGACGCGCAGACGAGAACCCGAAATCGAACAGTCATTTCTCTCGTTTTCCCGTCGTACCAGTCCCGATAAGAGAAAGATCGCTGACGTTAATCAGTTCTTTATTGTCAGCGCCGATGCCATTTCGGGCGATCGTAGGAGTATTTGGCAAGCTCTATGACGTGATTGTGACGTCGTAGTGACGTAATTTTTGGATGGCGTAGTCACATGAGGGTTAGGATTGGCATGTCAAAAGATTTTCATGTTACGCCTACTACAAAGTTATAAGACGGCTTAACCATGTCAGCAATTATCTCGCACATAACTTTCACCGCATGGAATTCAAATCTGCGAACCCGCGCATGGTACCGGTACCGTACCGTAATCGGAGGTGCGGTGGCGAGCATTCCTTATGTTATGCCAGTACCGGTGCTTAGCACGATGAGCCATGCTTCTGCCCAATTGTTATTTCCGATTATTGTGGTCATTAGGTCAAAAAAATGAATATTCAGTTTAATATGAGATGACTCTCATATGACAGTGGAGTATAATTTATATAACCTGTTACCGGTACGGTAACGTACAGACGTACCGGTACCGTTAACTTACACTATCTACCAGCTACCACTACCAGGCTACCCACCTTACCACGGGTCTCCGTAAAACCAGGCACTTGCGAATTCAGGCACTTTTTCAGGCACCATTTGAGGCCCTTGGATATTTTTTATTTTTACCGTACGTCATTGGGGTTTCCAATTTACCTGACAAGATAATTAGACTTTAAATAATTTTTTGTATCCCTATATTGCAATAAAACAATATTATTTCCAATTTATTAGGGTATAAATAATTTTTCAATAGTAAAATGTGGCAACATTTATTATAAAATATAGAAATCAGGCACTTGTGAAATTTCAGGCACTTGGTCAAAACCTATTTTGCAATGTATCTGATTACTCTAAAGCAGAAAATTAAATATATACACTTTGTATGGTTGAATTTACAACATTTTGGTAAAATACAAAACCGTTTGTGACTGATGGAGACGTGTCATATTTCGCAAGTGCCTGATTTTTCATTTTTCTCGGTGACAGTTGCCATATTTTTTTCTCAATTACTTTCTTAAATTATTTGCGTCAGCACGTACTATTCTTTGCTTTCTAACGCAAATTCATTGTTCCACAACAATTTGAGCGTTTTTAATATTGCAATGAGCAATACCATTTGACAACATATGGTCAACCATCGTACTTTTTGGATTTATTTAAAATTGAATATGAATGATAAAATCTGGCAACGTCAAGCACAAAATACTAAAACCAGGCACTTGTGAAATTTCAGGCACTTCGTAAAAACCTATTTCTCAATGTTTTTACTTCCTTTGAAGCAGAAAACTAAAATATATACTCTTTTGTATGATTGAAATGACGTCTTTTTGGTAAAAATCAAGAACGGTTGGGACAGGTGATGAGGGGTCAAATTTCGCAAGTGCCTGATTTTTCATTTTTTCCGATAACAGTTGCCATATATTTTCGCAACAATTTTTCGAGACTATTTGCGTCAGCACTTACTAATCTTTGCTTTCTAACGCAAATTCATTGTTCCACAACAATTTGAGCGTTTTTAATATTGCAATGAGCAATACCACTTGACAACATATGGTCAACCATCGTACTTTCTGGATTTATTTGAAATTGAATATGAATAATAAAATCTGGCAACCTCAAGCACAAAATACTAAACCCAGGCACTTGTGAAATTTCAGGCACTTCGTAAAAACCTATTTCTCATGTTTTTACTTCCTTTGAAGCAGAAAACTAAAATATATACTCTTTTGTATGATTGAAATGACGTCTTTTTGGTAAAAAACAAAAACGATTGGGTGGGTGATGAGGGGTCAAATTTCGCAAGTGCCTGATTTTTCATTTTTTTCGATAACAGTTGCCATATATTTTTGCAACAATTTTTCTAAATTATTTGAGTCAGAACTTACTAATCATTGCTTTTTAAAATAAATTCCTAGTTCTACAACAATTTCAGCGTTTTAACAATGAGCAATCTCATTTGACAACATATAGTTAACCATCGTACTTTTTGGATTTATTTGAAATTGAATAGGAATCATAAAATCTGGCAACATCAAGCACAAAATACTAAAACCAGGCACTTGTGAAATTTCAGGCACTTTGTAAAAACCTATTTCTCGATGTTTATACTTACTTTGAAGCAGAAAACTGAAATATACACTCTTTTGTATGATTGAAATGACGTCTTTTTTGGTATAAAAGAAAAACGATTGGGACTTGTGATGAGGGGTCAAATTTCGCGAGTGCCTGATTTTTCATTTTTTTCGATTACAGTTGCCCTATATTTTTGCAATACTTTTCATAAAATCATTTTCGTCAGAACTTAGTACTTACTATACTTTGCTTTCTCGGTAAAATGTTTTTTAAGACAATCCGATGTATATTGAGTGCTATTCTTATCGCTAATTTCAATTCGACGTCTGCCCGAAGGTGGTGCAAGTATTGATATTTGAAGTGAGTACATACCTGTTCAAAACGCCCAGATGGAAGATTGAACAGGGCGGAGACAACAAAAATTCAATCACATTTGGAACGTTGTCGCACTGCATCGTCGCCACTCATATACTCTGACATTCCGATGCATGAATTTTGCTTTCTGGAAAATAATAATTGGAGTGTCTGTTAAATTGCGAAATGTATACGGGAGCACGTACAATACCAATATTGCGTTTGAAATCATGATACATGTGAGAAAGTATCGGAAGCGAAATTGTGGAAGTATAAAATTTGTATTCGGTAAGTCGGTGTTGCAATGGTGGGTATTTTCAGGGCGCTCCCGTAGTAGCCTATGTGCTCCAAGATGGCGCACAACCTAATACCTCTATCTTGGTACACATACTATGTTCGGGTCGTGTGCCAACTATGTGCACATACTACGGGAGCACCATTTTCTGCACAACCTATTCTGATGCTCATTCGCGACATGAAGAAACTATTCGCCCGACATATAAAAGTAGCAAAATATACACAAAACCTTTTCATGTTTAATTTCATAACTGACATTTAAAATTTTCAATTCTTAGATCTGTGGTTTTACTTAATTGCAAGATACGTAAATCATATCATGTTAAAATAGAACAAATAGTAAGATTTTTATTGGATACTCAATATTTCTGATAATTTTCAAACTGAAAGCTTCAATTAGTGTTCACTCATACACTTCCTTTGTGAAGTTGTGTTTTTAATGTTTTATCTCCTTAATAAATTTAAATTCAAATTTATATCCCCAATTACTGATGGAGAAAGATCTATAATCAGAGTTTAATACGGCTTCTGTGACATTAAAAACAATTACTGTTTTACGTTTTTATATATTTGCAACTTTTTGAATAACGCAAAAAAATTCGTTGGCTGACTACTGGCGTGTTGAATATTGAATGATTTTTATTGTAACATTCGTTTAACGATGCTTTTAATCCTAACTTTGGGCATATCAGCTACCTGATGTCATTCGCAGAGCGAATTTTGTTTAGGTGACATTGCCATCTCGTATTTACCATCCTGTAGCCATTCTTCTTATTTAGGAACTACGTGTTTTACAGTTAGCTGTTACAGCATGAAATAATGTACAAATAATTCTACGTAACTATCCATGAAATCCATTCCATAAACTATCCATGAAAATATTACAGTCAGATCTTCAGTTTGTAAAGAATATTATACAACAGCAACAGCAAGTGATTGAATATCTTTATTGTAGCCGTGGTTGAACACCGCTGGTTGTCAATATAGGCTTTTATACATTTTGTGAACGGTAAATTATGTTCTAAATTAGGGGATAATGTGACTCGGATACGTATTATAAAAGATTCTATACGACATAAGTCAATTGTTTCTGTTAATGTAGTTTATATGAAAGTCATAGCCCAAATTACATATAAAATCGTCGTCCGATAATATTTAAAACTGGAATTTCGAACTAATATTGCCAGAAGACAAATTAGGTTGTTTATAACGATGCGATTGTTACTACCTGGGTAATATATTACGTCGAAATGTTTATAACAAATTAGGAGAAGTTTTGAACCAATTTCAAGGGTTCCGAACATTACTATAAAGATGTCGTCTGAATAACTAATATTTT